GTGTGTGTGTGTGTGTGTGTGTGTGTGTGACAGAGTTGTGTAGCTTTCGTGCTTTAAGCCTCGTCTTTACAGACTTTATCAGCCCTTCGCTCTGCTGAAGATGCAGGATTTAAACCAGAGTGTGTGATTGAAAAGTGGTTTGTATTTATTTCTCAGTTGTTCTCAGAGGTCGGACGGCGTGACTGCCGCACCTCGCTGCTGCTGTGGCGTGACATCATGGCGCCGTGTATCGAGCCGTGGCGTGACTGTAACCACGAGTTTCTCTGTTTTGTTCCCTCAGCAAAGAGCATGGAGGAACTGAAGAGGCTTTTGTTGCTGATTCTGGGCTGTGCTGTGCAGGTAACACACACACACACACACACACACACACACACACACTGCCTCTCCCAGGAATCGTGTTTGTGTGTGTGTCGTTTTGCATGTCTGAGCACAGCCGTCGCTTCGTGTTCCTGCTGACGAGGGCTGGACTGGATGTGGGCGGGGCTTCTCGCTCTTTTAAACACCAGTCAATTGTTTTTCTGTTAACCCCGTGGATCCTGATCATAGTCAGGTTATTTAGCGTGTTGCTGGAAGCCGCTCCTCCCTGGAAGTGATTTATCCAGATGTATCGAGCTGAGTTTACCTGTGCTGACAGCTGGGCTCGGTCTGTTCAGCTCTCCCATCCCTCTGAATGCAGCGACCTCGTCTTCTTCTCACCTCTCTCTGTTTGTTTCTCCCAGCTTCCTAATTTCCCTCCCCCTTTGTCTCCCTCCCTCTCCCCCTTTGTCTCCCTCCCTCCCTGCACTTGCTCGACTGGTTCCCGGGAAGAGGAAGGCCATGAGGGGAACAGGGAGGGAGGATAAACCACAGGGAAATTATGTTGTTGTTGCATTAAATAGCTGTGACCCCGCCCTCAGACACACACCTGACAACTAACGGTAGAAGCACATCAGTGAGGATGACGCTGCCCTCAGCCCTGTACCTGCTAACGTTCACCTGCACACCTGCCTCCTCCCGCCTGAACCTTTATGCTTTGATTTCTCTGAGCTTTGCTGCTGTACGTCTGACATCATCAGCCCGGACGTGTCGAGCACGCTGGATTTTAAAAACTGCAGTTAGTCTGCGATGTGTGGGCCAGACAGACGTGAGTTTAGAGCAGAAACCAAAGATTCATTTTTGTGCTTTGAATGTAAGAAAGCAGACGTGTGCTCATGCAGTTACATCATCAGTGTTTATTGGGTCGTGGATATAAACTGCACAGCCCCTCACGTCCGAGTCCACCTGTTACTGACGTATTTACCATCTCGACTTTTATGTGACGTCGTTTTTTTATTTACTCTTTGTGCTGTTAATGTGTAACACACACTTTCATTTTTAACTTAAATTTTCTGACGTCTGTCATCTTGTTTTTAAAGATGCTGAATAACTAAATAACTAATAACCCACCAAACAAACAAGAGAAGCAACAGCTGCTATTTGATTTTAATCCTTCATTTCCTGTGTGTGTCTGTCTGTGTGTGTGTCTCCTCAGTGTGAGCGTAAGGAGGAGATGATCGAGAAGATCAAGCTGCTGGACATCCAGACTCAGGCTGCCATCGTGTCTCACATCCAGGAGGTGACTGAAACCTGCTGAGAGCAGCTTCACTGCTGATCACTGATCACATGGTGCTGCTGCAGCGTCTCCACCCGGGAAAGTTTGTCCCAGGTGGAGCCGCTGCAGCAGCAGCGCCCTCACGTTAGTGTGTACCTGCTGCCTGTTTTCATCTGGAGGTGCTGACCCACGTCAGCCTCACAGCGTTCAGGTTAACCTGCAGACTGTCCTCTGGCGCCTCCAGGAGGACGCCACCTGCATTGAGCAGAGACGTGGCCTTCTGCTGGCGTCTGTGTCGACTGTGACGCTAAAACGTCTTTGAACTTGAGTCTTTAGAAATCATTTTGTATCAATAGCAGAGGCTGAAGGGGAGGGACCCCTCAGAAACCAGCACGGGACGACCACCGTCGCTGTTTATTAGCCAACTAAACCGCTCAACCACCTGAGGAGAGGCCACACCCCTCCTCTGGTTTAGGTTTATCAGCACCAGGCTTGAACCAGAGAGCAGGTGTAACACTCACTGTGACATCATCATGAGCAGGAAACTGTTTAGAAACTTTAAAATCTAAATTTCAGCTGCATTGTGTGTGTGTGTGTGTGTGTGTGTGTGTGTGTGTGTGTGTGTGTGTGTGTGTGTGTGTCTCAGGTGACCCATAACCAGCTGAATGTTCTGGACCTGTCCTGGCTGGAGGAAGGAGCAGAGATCATCCACGAGGAGCTCGAGCCTCTGTCCCGCAACATGGCGATGTCCCTGCGGCAGCTCATCGACCAGCGAGACAAAGCCAGCGAGGTACGCTCGCAGACGCAGCTTTATACACATGTCGTCAGCGTGACGCAGACGCCGTGATGTCTGTGAACAAGGCGCTGAGTCTGAAGGTCGTGTTTAACTGAAGGAGAGATGATAAAACTGTAACGTCTCAGAATAACGTGATTGGTCGCCTTCAATGATCCATGTGACGTTCTGTGATGTGTTGTTGACGGGAGGTCACAGTAGCTTATATTCAGTGTGTGGTCAGAACGTTTGTCTGGTTAAGCTTTAAAGGACTGCAGGTCACGTGTGAAGCTTTGATTGGACCGATCGCATCGATCTCACGTCCGTTGTTGTTGTTGACACGAGATTCAACATATTTCACCTGAAGTGTTCACGTTTCCCACTCTGACACCTGCCTTACAGGTGATTGTGGACCTGACCCAGGAGAGGGACTACCTGTCTAGTCAGCAGCCCCAGGACGGGTGCAGGGTCCTGGGCACGATCGGCCCAGAGCACGGGCGGAGCTCCGTGGGGGCGGGAGTGAATAATGGCGGCTCGGCCGGGGCGGCGCTTTCCAAGGAAGAGAAGCAACATCTGTCCGTGGAGCTCGCCGACACCAAAGCCAAGCTCCGCAGATACAGACAGGAGCTGTGAGTCTCCGCCTTCAACCACGCCCGTCCAATAAAGTCTGACGAGCCCGAGCTGTAATGTTTACCTCACACTAATGCTAACGAGGCTCCAGCACATCTCACAGGCCGTGTGTACACGACCACGCTGCTGTAATCACAGGGCGGAGACACGTGACTGGAGGTTAACAGCAGGCACGCCTGCGTTACTCACTGACCCAGGCAGCTCTCTGCTGAACACACTCACACGCCTTTCTCTCATTTTTGGTCATAAACATGACGTTTTTGGTTTTTTTTACATGAAGGTCAGAACGCCGATGGTGTTTCCAAAACGACGCTGACAGGACGTGTGTGTTTAACTGGTGACCGACAGGAAACAGTTTAGAGACAAACGGAGCCACGAAATCTAACACACGACCTCGACCACGTTAACCACTGAAACAGCAGGGTGCTCTCAGAGCGAGCGTGCTGCTGCCGTCAGATAACTAACGGTGCGCG